TTTTACCTTTCATTTTAATTTTTTTTTTAAATTATAAATGAACTTGTTTATTAGATCACAGTGGCATAGATCTGTTGCTTTTTTTTTCCCATCTTCATCTTACACATAAGTAACCAGTTAAATGAAATCCCAGATATCAATGTCCGACTTTAAAGAAAAATAAATTAGCTCATTATTTAAAAAAAAAAAAAAAATCCTAGTGCCAAGAACAGAAAAAGGCCAAAAGGCCAGGGAAGTAAACTCCCATGTTAAGCAAGACCTAGCATTTTAGCATTTCTACAAATGGGCAATGTATATGAAGGAAAGGACTAAAGGCTTAAAAATTGCTACCCTTTCCTTTACATACAGAGGAAAATGAGAACATTCACAAGTAATTCAAGTCTTTGAGGTACAGGATAAAGTGTATACTTTGAACACACAATATCTTAACATTACAGTATCCATTTTTTCTAATGTGCAATTTTTCTGTCACCTTTACATGCAACTTACAATATAGGGTAACTGTGCTCCCAGCCAGAGCACAGAAATTAAGGTGGCAATGAAGACACGCCAGTTCAGACCTGCCACTCTTAAAAACTTCACTAGTTCTTGTGCTTGAAAAGAATATTGTAGCCCTTCACCCAGAATATCTTCACTTTTTCCCCCAGCTTTAACTACAGGTATTCTTTTGCCCCTCACAGACCTTTCTGCAGTTTGGAGAAATTCCCAACCGGTTCCTGGGTTTCACTGTGCTAACCCCATTCCTCCAGGTTAGGACAAAGCTGCAGCCAAAACCTCTGCTGCTCCCCTTGCTAACAGGTTGTAGAGAGAAAAATCCCAATCCCTCTCCAATCCAGTCCAGCTTCAGCCTGGCTGCACGCTCTGGTAGTCCTTTTCCTCAGAAATTTCACTGACCCCTGCAGTGCTATCACCGATTGCTGCTCTCCATTCAGTATCATATCCCTGCTCCCTCCTGGCTCCCTGATTTCCTAGAGGATGGAAGTTAATAGCATTTTCTGAGCTAGTATTGGATGGTTGCATTGTTGGGACATCCTGCCAGCATCACACAACCTCGGAGAACTCAGTTTGCTCAGTTAACTAAGAAGATAATGTGCTTCCCTGGTAAGTTAAAATGAACAGGATCAGTCTTGGTTTTACACTACCCTTCCAGTAAGGTAATATCTGACAAACCCCTCCTCTTAAAGTGTATTGAAACATGGCCATTTTCCACATTCATGTCCAATGAAGATGAACAGCACAGCGCACCATGACAACACATTACTTAAGTGAAAAACACAAGTAAGTACTGCAAAAAAAAAAACAAACAAAAAAACAACAAAAAAAAAACCCCAAAAAAACCCTGAGGAATTTCCCTATTTGTATTGACCAAAACTCAAGATGTTGAATCCTTATTGAACTTAATGGAGCTCATTAACAGTGACATGGCAAGGTGAGGATGGAGGAAGCCCAGCTCCCTTGGGCACAGGCGGCTGATGCCCCAAGGGACAGGGTGGCTGTTGTCTGGTGCTGCCCTGCCATCGTGTCCCCACAGCAGCAGCTCCTGGAGGCTGCACCTGCTCAACCTCCTGGGAGCCTCCTGCCTCTGCTCAGGCACAGAACTCCCCATCCTCCTCTATAATTCAGCTAAAATACAAAATTGAACACGTAGTATGTGCATTATTGAATTATTTAAGAAAATACTATGCAGGATCTTACTCAACAAGACAGTTTAGGGTTGAGACTAAGCAGAAATTTCCACTAAAACTGTTAAGAGAAATGCTGCTTCCCAGCCTTGGTTATGGTATGGGAAAGGCTGCTGATGAAAGCAAGCTAAGGGAAAGCAATTCACTGTCTACTGATTATGTAAGCAGTCCATGAATGACAGATCTCCAGCCTTTCTGCCCTGCCTTTTGACCAATCCTCTTTTAAAAATTTACTCTTTCTAACATAAAAATTGAAATTGTGCTACAGGCTCTAAATTTTTATTTCGTTTATTTGTTCCAAATTGTAACTAAGTGGTACTGATCAAAAGTTGCAGAATTCTTGCCCCCAGTGATGCTTAAAAACTGATTTGGATTAGAAAGTCATAGGTTTGAATCAAATTGTTAGCAAATTACTTTTCAAAAAGTGTAAGAATCACTTTACTTAAGTTACATAAGAAGTAATAATAACAACCACTTTCTAGAAATTATTGTGGCTCAGAGAAAGTTAATCTTCTTAGTCTTTTGTAGAAGTTTTACCTAAACCTGTATGGAGTCAGATGCTCAATTTTACTCCTGAGATATCTTGGGAGACAACTTCTATATCCATTCGAAAGTTCCAGGACAACTGGAAATATAATTCATTAATGTACAATAATCCATAGGGGAAAAAAAAAACCAGTAGCGAAGTATTCTCTAAGATACTTTCAAAACAGGAGAATATAACTAACTGACTGTTCTCAAAGTGTGACAAACCAGCTGCTTTGAAATAATATTTATTGCTAATTTAAAATAAAAATCTTTATAAAGATGCGATAATGAAACAAGAGTGCTCAAAACAGAAAACGCCTCTTTTTTCATCATGTTAATTTACCAGTAACAATTTTGCAATTAGATTCTTGAATTTAAATTAGCTATCTAAGTATATGATTATATGATCAATTCCCATTTAGCAGGGTTACTGTCCTCCATTCAAGGATGTTATTTCCATAAGTAACCTTTGCAAATAATATGATAAACCTATCAATTGTGAAAGCCATTACTTTAATGCAAGAATCATAAATTGCCTTTCATTTGCCATTAGACCTGGACAAAAAAATGACCAAACATCACAAAGGGTAATTAAGAGATCACATACATAACTTCTAAGTGCAAAGAATACGACATTGAAGAACCAGTCTTGAACAAGACGTTGGCAAGACGGAAATCCTGATTAACACATCTTTCAAGGAGGAAATGGTAAGTCTCTTCTTTAAAAATACAAAATTACCAGCACAGTAAATACTTACAAGAATAATGTATGTGAGCACAAATAGACTAAGACCACAGCAGAGTTTTTTCTTTGTTCTTCCTCTAACCAGCTTAAAAACGGGAGTATTTTACCATAGAAAAATGTTGCACATATCTAAAAGGCCACAATAAAGAAGCTCATATTGCTACCTCCATGCATTCCTGACTGACTAAACCGTGAAGTTCCCAGTACAAAATGTGAAGTCACAGGTATTCAGATTTGTGATATGCTCTAAATATAGATAATTTAGGTCATAACCATAAGAGATACAAACAGTTCTCTGATATAATCCTCATGTGACACTGTTATTACTTTAAAAGGAGTATTTCTATAATAACTCCTGATTAAATATAGAAATTTGACAGCAGTGACTAAATCTATATGCTATATGGCTTTTCGGTAAGCCTTTTCATAAAAATTTTGCAGAAATTTCTGGACAGACAGTGCTAGAGCTGCTCACAACTGGAAGCAAACTCAAAACTCATTTTCATTTTCTTCTTGATAAATGGAAGTCTCCTTTCCAGGTATTTACATTATTGAAAGATGTATTCCAGAATGTTTTCAGAGATACAAACTCAATGCAGAAAGAAAAAAAAAAAAAAAGATGAGGCTCTGTATAGTCTTTGCCACAAAAAAAAATGGAATATATACTATCAACTTTCTAAATGTCACTAATCACATTTCACCTGTTTTCACTGTTTCCATTAATTCCCAGAAAGCTTGAAATCATGAAGGCAGTAATATGCTGGAGTATCTAAGTTACTTGCTGAAGTTATTCAGAAAAGAAGATTTGAAATGTAGAAGCAGAGTTGCACAGATGGTCACATGCACTAGGAGACAGTTTTCAAAGGTGAAACAACAAGGCCCAGTCACTTTTTTCCCCTCCCCATCAGTTAATGACTTTATGAAAGCAAGCAAGTAGTGTAGCCAATATGCCTAAGTTTTAAGTCTTGGATTATTTGGTTCTTACTCTTTAAGTCCATAGTTTTAAAATTTTATAATTTAGTTACAAAACAAATTGTCATAAAAAAAAAGGCTTATATTCTAGTCCTTAGAAATGTAAAAGAAATCTTAAAAATATTTTCCAAATGCTGTCTAAAGGCTCCGAAACTTGGGTGCACACTTAAAAAATATTATTTTTGAAGTTAATCTTGTGACTTCTTGAAGTCTGCAGCTGAGGAAATAGCATTTACTTCCCTGATCTTTTCCCCCCATTTATTTCAATTCCTTCATTGTCACTTCATCACAAGCTGTGCTTCTCCGATCTCATCAATTTTTAGTTTTTAAATTTCTTTGGGGTTTTCTGCTCCCTCTCTCTCAAAGGACTCTCACCACATCCACTCTCTGTTCTCCTGCTAACTGTGTGAGTATTGACTGAGTAAAACCCTGCCCAGCCCCATAGCCCTCGGTGCTGTCATGATGCCTCTCTGGTAACTCTACAAATCTTCTTTCAAAGGCTCACAGGAAAAGATTCAAGAAACGCCAACTACAAATGAAGGAGCATATAAACATCAACATTCTGCAGGCCTTGGAGACAAGGAAATAAAGTGCTGCTGTCTCTTGTGACAGGCCACAAGCCTATTGTTAAGTTAACAACACAGATATGAAGTTCTTGCGCTTCCCTGCAGGGAGACTTGCTCCTAGCAGAAATTATCTAAGTCCCAGTAACAGGCATGCGCTTTGCTTTACCTTTTGCTTAGCTCTGTGTAACACCTACTGGATATATTCCTGCACCTAATCAGGAATAACAAATAATATGAGGAATGGATTCTCTGTTTCCCTACAATAAAGGGCCCAAGGGCTAAAAGCAACCCACACAGTGTTCTAAGAGTCGCCATTAAACAAGTTCAATTCAGGCACTGCGTAAAAACAGTGTTAGGGGATAAAAAGAGAAGATAAAAAAGAACCCTTATTAGCACACATAAAGCACAACATACTCAGAAGCAACAGTTGTAATGGAGAATTAAAGCCCTGTACAAGCCCCAGAGCGCGCGGACAAACAGGTAACAACAATTCATGAGGGATCTTACATGGAAGAGGAAGAAATCACCAGTAAGGATGCTGGGATGACTCCCTGAAGTCCCACTCTAATCACAACAGCTGCAGCTGCCACTGACCTCAGGACCCAATGGTGCAGAGGTAAAAAAAGGAAAATGTCAGAAAGTTTGTGTGTGTATCCTTTTAACTGCCTAAAATTCTAATGTCCTACTCTATTTGATAGACATTTAATGGACTAGTCTACTCCATTTATCAATATTGCACATACCTCATAGTCTTCATAATCACAACACACAAACTGAACAGGAAGAAAAGTTTCAACATTAAGGATGCCAACAAACAAAGAAACATGGAACTAAGCAGCAATAGCAATACTACCCTCAGTCTGTGGACTAGTCCTTTTTTTCTAGGAGAGGAAAAATATCTGACACATTTTAAGATTATTAAAAGAGCCAACCAACTGCCAAAATAAAAAGCCCAAAACGAAACACCAATATGCTAAAAAGGAAATGGAAGAGATTAAATGCTGTATTCCTGATGAGAATACAAAAAAATAAACCACCAAAGAACTATAAGGAAATCATACAAGTGTGCATTTGCAAAGAATTCACACATTCAACAATCCTTTTTCTCACTGCTGGTAAAAAGAAGAAAGCTCCTGCTCTCTCTCAAGGCAGTTTTATTCTGGCACTGAGAATTTTACCCAACTTGCTAATTGCTTGGCAAAGACATGAATGAAGACAGTTGAGAACAACCAGCAACTAGATCAGACAATGAAGGATAGAGGATGTGTGCTGTCTACACAGTTGGTTTTATTTCCATAGCTGAAGAGCCAAATACTGGTGATGAGGGAATTTCTGCAAAGCAGGTCTTAGCCTTTCCCTTATAATTTCCTCTCTCCTCTTTAAACAAGAGGGAGCTTTCAAGATTTCCAATAATTACACTTTCTTACTGTGATGCTGATGCCTCATCTTCCCACATGACAGGCAGCAGCTCCCAGCCTCCCCTCATCCCCTGCACCCCTGTCTGCCCGCAGAGATGCTCCAGCCAAGCAGGAAGGAAAGGAGCAAACTGCCCAGAGACTGGGCACATCATCATCAGGACTAACAAGGAGAAACTCAGGAAAAGGGGAAAGGAAAGAATTAGAAATCTGAAGAGAGTAAGGTGCCAGGTAATATATAGAGAAAGATTAAGAAAATGAGAGTAAAACCAGCACCAAACAGAGCTGTTGTAGCTGTCCTACAAGGTGTCAATTTGGAGGAAATCCTCTGTTCTAATGAAATCTAGACAAACCTTGCATTTCAGGAAATTAGGACTAGTCAACTTACATCTAAATATAAAGTAGCTATCCACTCTATAAAGTACCTTTTTGAGAAATACAGAGGTGAGATGAACGGCCCTGGATCAGATGTCATGTACTCATTATTTATGAGGTGAGGCACAAGTCTTTAACCATGTACTCTCAAGGGTATTTTAATAATGAAATAGAGCCCTAATTCAGAATGACCTTCAGACATGGCTTTATGCATATTTTCAATTCCTTTCAGCCATCATTCTCACTATACAGTCACATAATAGCTATTCCAGCAAGAGAGCTGGATCACAGCATTCACATATAGTAAATTGTTAATTTTTATATCATTAACCAATTACTATAGTCCAACAGGAAACAAAAACAATGGTAAATTAATTCTGCTTAGAAACATATTTAAATACAGTATATTTGGAATATTGGAATAAGTTCCTTTTTAAAATGTAAACTTTATTTAGTTGATGACTCATATCTCTCTTGAAGTAACTGTGGGATAAAAGCTCTTAGCTTCATGGACTACATTTTGGCAAAGTTAAAAGAATATCTTTTACTATTCAGCATGCAGAAATTCACTGCAGCCTACTTACAAACAAACAGACTTCTTTCACAGTCAGTGCAGGCTCATTTCTTTACCTGTATCTCCTATTTGCATATATACATTATGCATGTAATAAGTGCCTGCCTTGATAGACACTCTAAACTGATCAGAGTAATTTTAAAAAAAATTTAAAAGCCTATCTGCTAACTTCTACTTTAACTAGGCTAAATATAATGACTAAGCCGAGACTTGAATACAGAATTCATATTTCAATTTAAAGATTCAACAATAAACAAAATGTTACTCAAAACTGGATTTCTGCATATGCAGCCTACCTCCTCTCAGCTTAAGAGGAAATAGGAGAGATGTAGGGTCTATTTAATACATAACACTATTTTTTTTCTTTTAAGTTCTAGAATGACATTAAAATAAATCTAATTTGACCCTGAGAGGAATTAATAATTTAAATGTGATGTATGTGTTACTAAATAGATCTATTGGATTTTTTTTATTTTTTTTTTTAATGAAGTTGATCCAAGAAATTCACCCTTTAATGGGGTTGAAACCAGGTCTCAAAGCAGATAATGGGAGCAAGACAGTCCCATTATGGGTCTCACACCATTCACTTTCCATGCCAGTCTGAGCTGGCTTTTGGTAAGGATGTGAAATATTTGAACTACTGGTCAGGGAGTGGAAGCAATTTAAATGTTTTCTACATCTAAAAGCAGAGTGGAAGAGAATCGGGTGTTAAAGCTTCTGTTGGCCATTCCAGAGGACACACTGAGGAAGTGTGTGTTGGGATTCAGAAGCGAATAAAAGGAACAGAAACATCTGCAGAATGTTTAAAGAAGATTTGAGGGATTTTATTCTCTCTTCCAAAATGAAACAACTTTCAGCAAATACAGAGTGCTTCAGACAATGGGCAGTGAACCACAAGCAGTGGTTTACGATGATGCTTTTAACTAAGTTTTCTGTAACATCACTGGCCACCACACTCAGCAGTTACTTACATATGATAGTGATAGAAGCTTTAAAGCACAGATTTTTACTGCTATAATACAGTTTTAGCACCCATTATTTGGACTTTTACAGCTAATTAGAGAAGCCTTACTCTCCACGCATGAAATTTCTTTGGATGTTATTCAACTGACTGCTAAATTTGACAGTGTTATGCAAGAACATGTGCGTCCCCCACCTCTGCGGAAGGTTTCTCTCACATGCATACTAGATACTGATTTCACACAGGGCCCAACATTTGCTAAAGCTCTTTCTGTCCTCACAGTAGCTAAAGCAACACAGAGCAGCTACTCGACATTTGCTAGAAGAAATAATACACCTAATTTGCTGAGTCTTCAACAATTTATCTTCCTTTTACTGTATCAAAGACCTCATACTTCACTAAAAATCTCAAACTTTATATATAAATGTAAAAAAATCAAAGTCACAAAAAATACTGAGTGTACTGAAAAAGCGATTAGAAAATAACTTAAGGAGTTTTTATTCAAGCAAGAATCTACAATAATGAGAAGTAAAAATACTTTTTTAGCATTTAGAATTCTACAAAAATTTGAAAAAACTCTACAAAAACATATTTTGACTCTGAAAATCAATACATTTGACCAGATTGATCAATTAAATGTCTGTTCCTCGAACAATATTGATGTGCGCTCTTAAACTCTGATTAGCTGCTTAATTTAGAACTTAAATTCAAACAGTATGTTCTGATCAGTCACAAAATATTATATTATCTTCTATTTCCATTCAAAGTTCTTTCACTGAAAAAAGAGTATTACCAGATTTAACTGATTTGATAAGACCTTCTTCCACTTTTATCACCATCTAAACTTTCAGGTTGGAGCAAAAGAAACTAACTTAATCCCTTGATATAAATCAAGAAGAATGGTATCCAACCTGGGTCTTCCATATATCACTTAAATTCTTAGATATTTCTTTGGCCTGAACTGGAAGAGGGATCAGCACATGAATTTTTTTCCAGCTCTATTAATGAGACATAAATGCTTATGTGGACTTTTTCACTTGTTATCTTTACTTCTCCTTAAACTATTCAACACAAAATAAATAGTTTTAATAGAAGAAAATAGTTTGTGGGTTTTGACAGAGAGGTTCCTGTGTTACCTGTGGTTTATAGAAATTCCTGAAAATAAATGAGCTTCTTGATGAAAAGCACCATTTCTTTTTCTGTTTTATTTTGTTTTTTAAAGAACTAACATAGTATTCTTTTATTATGTCTAGAGCTTGATGCTATAAGCATAAACAGAACCTTAACAGACATTATAGCAGTATTGACATTGAATACTCTGTATAAGCACCTAAATGAACTATCTCACATAACAAACACATGCTTTATGTATCACTTCAAATAAATGAATTTGGGACTTGAAGTTAATTTGGCTTGTACAGATACATAAGAAACCTGAGAGTATCAGTTATGCATCAATTTTTTAAATAGGTTTTCAAAAGAAAAAGTATTTCTGTGTTGAAAATAAAATTTATAGCACTGATACACATATGATGAATTTTAGTTTAGTATAAATGTCTGAGAACCAGATACAGTTATAGCATATTTAATGGCATTTCACCTACACAATTCCAGGCTCTCATAAAGGAATGGGTATGGTTTGTTTGGTGTAGTGTGGGGGGTCTTTCATGCCAACAAATCACTGTGGTGAGAACTTCAAGTCAGCATTAAAACACCCAGGGAGACTCTGTAGGAAGTCATGTACAAGAGAAGACATTCATCGTGTCTAGAAATAATGAACATAGCTTCAAGAACCCAGTGTGAACAAAATTCAGAAAAAACTATTACAGCTGTCTTTATGATGACATGAAAGATGCATGCAGGATGGTATCTACATTGTATGTCCCAGCTGTTGAATTACGGTTGTCTTTGATCCTGTCCTAGTCCTGCAGTAACAGCAGACAGCCTATCGCTCATGGACAGAGTGAAATTGCTGCAACATAGACTGGAGTTTAAGGAGAAAATGTAGTTTTACTTCTGACTGTTGGAACACAACTATCCACCCAACTGCATTAGACAAAATTTCTACTGGGTTTGCAAGGACATTCAGGAAGAAATACTGAAATGTAATTTTTGAGACCAAAATAAGACCTTGTCCATTCATGAAAGAATGAAGCAGGTAAAGCAGATACATTGTTTTATGATCTTTTATGTCTTGCTCATTTTCCTGGAATTAAGCAGCAAGTGTGTAGCCATGTCCCTGTTCACATCATACAGCTTCTGGAGGAAAATCCTTCAGAGTAATCAATTCACTGCCAGCTGGTAAACAAACACCCAAGGGCAGTGCTGCTGTATCAGAAACTACGATCAGCAGGAGGTTAAGAGCAAGATCCCAACTCACACAGGAGAAGGTGGATTTCTCAGCTGAAAAGGGTACACTCACTTTTCCAGCCTTGTGCTTTGGAGCACTCCTCACACCACAGCACACTGCTGCCTACAAGGCTCCACTATGCATACTGGGCTCAACTGAGCTGGCTTCAGAACAACCCTCCTGAAACAAATGAACCGAGCAGCTGTGGATGGAAACTTCTCAAAACAATGCTTTAAGCCAAAGCTACTGCCATGAAACTGCGCTGCCAGAGAGACACAGCACAGTCAAAGGGTGCGAGAGAAATACTGTCAAGTCTGAGAAATACAAGGTAGAAGTTGAATCTTTCAAACCTGCTCAAGAATGCCAAATCAAGAACAGCTCCCTGTTTTTGCTTCCCACTGGATTTTCTTCAAGCTGAATCACAGAACAAAGCTGTAAGAGTCAATCCACACAGTGTCTATTCTTTTCCAAAATTCCTAATTCCTTTCCACTTTTTCCCCTTTATCCTTTCCTAACCTTCCCTTTTCCTCAGGCCTCTACTGTATCATGGGCTTCCAAAAGAAGCTCCTGGACTGAGAGCTTCCTTTGGAGATTTTACCCAGATTGAGCATAATGCCAAAACAAGCTCTTGCTCTGGAAGGCAAACAGGACAGATATGGATTACACTGGCTAATTTAACCTGGCCATTTTATGCTGAGTTTAAATCTAGGAGTAAGGAACCTCTTCATTTCTGAAGAGAAAATAAAGCTTTCATTAGAGTTCACATGCATACAGCCATATACACCTGCACAGCTTGCCTTCCTTCACCTCACCAAAGGAACGCACCCATCTCCTTTGGCTCAGGCTGCTGGAGCTATTGGGGTCCCCCAGGTCACTGCCAGCTGAGTGGGGACAGGTACAGAAAACACTCCTCTTTCCTCATGTTCCTGCCAGGAAATGTCACATCCCTGTGCCTGCAGAAGGCAGCTCAAGCCCTTGGAGGGCAGCTGGATGAGGCAGGCCCA